TGAGTGGAGAAGCGCAGCTCCTGTCCTTCGTGCGTTACAAAGATGCGTCGGACATAAACTATGGAGGTTATTCCCTATCTTTATTCAAGAGCATGGTATTTAAATTTGAGAGCATACTTTATGTATTTATTTCCCTCAAACCCTGTCCTCGCACTCAAATAGTGCCTGCTTGCACTTAGATTTGCTCTGCTTCTGCTCAAACTGTACGCTTGCACTCAGATATATTGCTGTTTACAGATTTTTTCTGCTCTCAGATTTTTTCTGTGCGCGCTCGAAACTTTTGTGCAACAATCCTGTCAAAATCCCTCAACCAATAGGAAGCCAGGTGTCCTTGCGGGTGCGTTCGCTTTACTTATTACTCTTTGGTTTATAAACTCCCGCCCTCCACGGCTTTATAACATAGTACTGCACTTGTTTGATTTACAACTACCTTACATAATAGCTACGTTCAGTGGCGGACTGGGACTAAAAATCAGCCCGGGAATAAAATAAAATCGTCCCTCCGTTGCCTTCTGCACATAGTGCGAGGTGGTTGCTCTGCAACAACAAGAACAGATAGCGAATGTCGTCGTTTAGGTGCTTTTTTTTTCTGGAGATAGGCACTTCTCAATCCACTCCTCCATAGTAAGCCCACCCCGGAGGTCGAAGTTAACCTTAAATGTTTCCATCTTAAGCTTAGTTAGTTAGTTAGTTAGTTTACTATATAAAGTTTAGTTTAGGATTTTATAACGGTTCTCAGACGCGGAGGGATACTGATTTGTGAAAAGTAACAACAACTATTCCCTGGATATAGGCCTACGCTCATTATATCACGGCTAAGAAACATCAGATTGCTTGATTTGACTTGTCCGTTTTATAAACATATACTAACTGTGCTTAACCTCCCAAAACAAAGTTGTAAATGACTGGTGAAAATAAACTGCTAGGCCATACTGATTCTGGATATTATTTTGCTAAGTGTTTTGTTCCTGAATTAAAGTTTAAATGCCTGTTTAAAGGGGACTTATTCAAAGGGGCTCCATGGTTTAAGCCTAAATGTTACAAGATATATATATATATAGCAAAGATAAGTTGATTATTTTGATTTCATATGTATTTATTTGATTATATTATTTATTTTCAAGGCAACATATTCATTCATTTATTGAGTGATTTAAGTTAAAATTAAGAAAATACCTGAGAATTAGATGTTCAAATTAAGGAGATGAAATAAAGTTATTTTCATTCAATAATCAGTTACGTTCTACTTGTGAAGGATCATCAGCACGTATGAGTGAGGGGGTACTCATGGTATGACAAAAGTACGGTGGCCCTGAAGTGCAAGACACCACAGCATTTCAGAAAACACAACAGCATTTCAGAAAACACAACAGCATTTCAGAAAACACAACAGCATTTCAGAAAACACAACAGCATTTCAGAAAACACTACAACATTTCAGAAAACACAACAGCATTTCAGAAAACACCACAGCATTTCAGAAAACACAACAGCATTTCAGAAAACACCACAGCATTTCAGAAAACACAACAGCATTTCAGAAAACACAACAGCATTTCAGAAAACACTACAACATTTCAGAAAACACCACAGCATTTCAGAAAACACAACAGCATTTCAGAAAACACAACAGCATTTCAGAAAACACAACAGCATTTCAGAAAACACAACAGCATTTCAGAAAACACAACAGCATTTCAGAAAACACCACAGCATTTCAGAAAACACAACAGCATTTCAGAAAACACAACAGCATTTCAGAAAACACCACAGCATTTCAGAAAACACAACAGCATTTCAGAAAACACTACAACATTTCAGAAAACGCCGCAGCATTTCACATTGGACGGAAAGGGTATTCCTTTAGGGAGAACACTTCTTGTTTGTGATTGGACAGAGCCAGCCAGAGAAGTACTGCTGTGATTGGTTGTTTTGGCTGCCAGTCAATAAATGACGCTTCGTGATTGGCCCAACACATCAGCCGTTAGTTGTTAGCACACACTCAGAGCTCACAGCTCCTCATATCTGTTCAGAAACTGGACAAAAGTTAAACATATACAAAACACAGACTGTCTATGTCATGGCGAATACAGTCGCTGCTTTATTTATGTCTGTATGACGTTGTTGTGAGCGTGGACGGAGCAGCTATAGGTTAGTTTAGCTCAGAGCCCTATCTCTCTAGGGCTCTGGTTTAGCTGATCGATCCGATTCCGATAGGATTTACATGGAGATACGCCCCGCCCCCTCTCCAGCGTCTTGTTTGAATGACAGGAGTAAACACATAATTAATGCTTTATTAATTCATTGTTTTTAAGGGGCTTATCTCCATGTAAATACTATGGTAGACTACCCAATATTCGCATCGATCTAATCGCTCGAGTTTCACCGCGGCTGTCAGCTGTTTGCTCCTGTCATTCAAACCAGACGTGCTGGAGAGGGGGCGGGAAGTATCTCCATGTAAATCAAATGGGAGATACCAACTACAACAAAATGAACATATTTGACCGTGATTTAATTGTAATACATGTTTCAACGTGATGCCGAAGCAACTACATACTGATAACGGTTAGTAAAAACCATGAATTAACGCTTTGACAAGTCTGCAGACAAGACGGCAGGCGGAAAGCTTTTAAAATGCGTGTTTTCTGAATGGAATCGGATCCATCAGGCTAAACTAACCTGTAGCTGCTCCGTCCACACTCACAACAACGTCATACAGACATAAATAAAGCAGCGACTGTATTCGCCATGACATAGACAGTCTGTGGTTTGTATGTTTAACTTTTGTCCAGTTTCTGAACAGATATGTGGAGCTGTGAGCTCTGAGTGTGTGCTAACAGCTGATGTGTTGGGACCGGTTGGGACATATTGGCGGGCGTTGACCAATCACGAAGCGTCATTTATTGACTGGCAGCAAAAACAACCAATCAAAGCAGTGCTTCTCTGGCTGGCTCTGTCCAATCATAAACAAGAAGTGTTCTCCCTAAAGGAATACCCTTTCCGTCCAATGTGAAATGCTGTTGTGTTTTGTGAAATGCTGTGGTGTTTTCTGAAATGCTGTTGTGTTTTCTGAAATGCTGAAGTGTTTTCTGAAATGCTGTAGTGTTTTCTGAAATGCTGTGGTGTTTTCTGAAATGCTGCGGCGTTTTGTGAAATGCTGTTGTGTTTTGTGAAATGCTGTTGTGTTTTCTGAAATGCTGTAGTGTTTTCTGAAATGCTGTAGTGTTTTCTGAAATGCTGTAGTGTTTTCTGAAATGCTGTAGTGTTTTCTGAAATGCTGTAGTGTTTTGTGAAATGCTGCGGCGTTTTGTGAAATGCTGTTGTGTTTTGTGAAATGCTATTGTGTTTTCTGAAATGCTGTAGCGTTTTATGAAATGCTGTTGTGTTTTGTGAAATGCTGTGGTGTCTTGCACTTCAGGGCCACCGTACAAAAGGCTCAGGGGGTACACAAGACAAAAAAGGTTGGGAACCACTGGCCTATCTAATATTATAGTTGACTTTTCATTCGGAAGTATGACGCTGCGCTGTCAGTATGCTTCTCCATGTTTGTGATTGGTCGAATGCTCCAAATACCACCCCTTTCATGTGAACGCGCACCTAACTAGATAGGACACGGCTGGCTTGATCGATCCACTTGATAACCAGCGTCGTAGTACAGTTTAGCGACAGCGCGTATGTTTTGGATTAGGCCAACCGGCTAACTCAAACATATCCAGGTTAGGTTGAACCAGCTTCGTAGTATAGGCCCCTGGGTTCACAGTTTATGGGCTCTGAGCTTGCACTTTTCTACACAAACATTGCTTTATCATTAAATGAGTCTTCACACTTGGTGGACAACTTTCAACACTTTCACCTCTGTCACGGTGACGATTTTGTTGTCATTTTAAAAAGTCACAAGATATTCTAACTTTAATTATCAAACTAATTTATTTAGGGCTTGGTGAAGATATATTTTATAGACTTCTACAGCATATGTTGACATCGTTTACAACGTTAATTGTTCTTAATAAGTGATTCAAAGCTATATAAATATTTGATTGGATGAATGATTTATAATACACTTTAATGTATTTGTTCTACACCTACATGAGGACATTTAAGGACATGTTTTTATACGGTATTTGTCAACAATTAGTACTTATTAATAATCTGTTAGCACATGTTTGGCTGCTTACAATATTAGCTAATATCTGCTTACAACAACACGTTATAAACCATGTTAAAAACTGCTTAAATGAAAGAGTTATTTTCCAAATCACCTAGCTATAAATGTATAGCAAAAGGGATTCACATTAAGAACGTGTAAACGCTGTGAAAGTTTGGAATTCTTAGGCTGACAATCTCAAGTGATCTCATTACTTGGTTCTGGAAAAAAATATTTCCACCTGAATTATGCCACAATGAAAACATCAATGTGTATTTTTTCTTACTTTCTACTCACAAACTATTCACAGTTTAGTGTTCACACCGAGCAGCAGAGCAGCTGAGTATGTTTTGAAAGCGATGGCAGGTTCAGGGGGCTAGTGGTGATATATTGCCACTGCAAGACCCCCCCCAAACTATGTCTCTCCGTGCTCCCATCTGCCACTGCTGCCCTGCTCCAACCCCCTTGATCTCATCTACTCCCATCTTACACCTTCCAACCCCCTCCCCCCCCCACCCTCTTAACCATCCCGAAGCATGGCCTGTCAGTGGTTCATAGTCTAAATTTAAACTATGGGCCAACTGCTCCTCTGCCACTCTGGGCTCCTGTTATTTTCCTTGCCGAGGGGGCTTTTTCTGTCAGAGGCCCTCAGCCAGGAGGAGAGGCTTGTGGCTCAGCGCGAGGGAGACAGTATCAGAGGAAGAGCTGGACGAGGGCGGCGGGGGAGTGCACAGGATCAGCAGGTTTTGGAACCCAGGGGCCTTCACAACGGGGAGATATTTAGGGCCTCACTTTTGGGATTATACTGTGAGAAGACACATTTCTACAGGAGTTGGCCTCGGGTGAAGGCGTCAAGATGGCGTCGAATGCGGATGACAAGCTGGTCATCATGAATGAAGAGGAGCTGAAGAGGAAGCAGAGGGAAAAGTTGAAGAAGCTACAGGCCACAGGAGGAAACCCTCGTCCAGCAAGAACCCTCTTCCTCTTTAACCTAAAAAATTCCTTTCGCAAGGCCTGCATCACCATTGTGGAGTGGAAGTATCCTTTATATCTCATACACACACACACACCTGCCTACATTATACAGACATGTGTGTGTGTGTAATGGTATGTAGGGCTCTGGTTGGGAACACTGACAGCTAAACATATTAGGTGTCTGAAGGCCAGTGCATTATCAGCTGTGAAGTCCACCTGTGTTAAACATGCACAAGCCAAGTCTCATTTAAATCTGTGTTAAGGCGATTCCTAACGTGTTAAGACTTTTGTTATGTATCTGACAGCCCTGTGTCAGAGTCAAGTTTGTAGCCCCTTGCATTTTCACCTGGGGAGCTTCTTAAGCCAATCTATTTACATGTGGCAGATAGAAGCAGTTAATGAAGCTCTCCGTTAGTTTTCTGATAGCTGACATTCTACTTTTAATGTGGAAATAGCCGCTCTGACACGCTGGCACTCACTGACGCTTGAAGCCTGAACACAAGGCAGGCTGCTGAGTGATTATGGCCCCTATAGGGGGTTTCCTGCTTTTAGACCGATGTCCATTCCTGGATTATATATATTTTACATCCAAAATAGAATACACTAATCAAATTAATCCTAGGACAGACAGCCCTATAGGACAGAATGTTATACCCTGGTGTAAATGATTAGAATTTTCAGTGATAACAGTTTCACAGAAAGTATTTACACAGCTTGTGTGTTTTTTACTACAACAGTTAAATCACATTGGTATGTGATTCTGTAACCCATGGCATGAGTGCAGTTTTAACAGCAAAAATACACAAATGGACATAATACAATTGTCCATTACTTATTGTTATTTTCTAAAAGTATACATGCTCACATCACAGCTTGTTTTCCTGGTAAGTTGTCTGTGTTTAAATGCTTTGGCCATATTCTTGGGCTGTGCAGCTGTCCTGCGACATCACAGCGAGACATGATGCTGACCTGGCAGGGGAATTCTCAGAGAGAGCCCCCTATGGACGAGAATGAAGCAGCACAGCAGATTACATTTACTGTGACCAATGGGCTGTTACAGGGATGATGTTTCAGGCAGCTTTTAGAGGTTCTGATTCATGTAAAAATAGTGTTTTGATTGATCTGATTTAGTTTGTTACATTAATTCACAAAACATGGATAAAGAATAGTACAATTCATTGTATAGTAGTGTTTCCTTCCTTGTTGTGTTATGCTCAACATGTACACAATAACTCAGATATCATGAACTATTCCAAACCTTTAGTAATATTGTCTTTTCTGGGAGAGGGTCACTGGATGTTTACTTGTCCTTGTTATGTATTGTCGTTATAATCCTGAGTTTCCACAACCAGAACCTTTGAGTACATCATCTTACTGACCATCTTTGCAAACTGTATTGCTTTGGCTGTGTTCCTGCCCATGCCTGAGGAAGACAGTAATAACACCAACACAAACTTGGTGAGTATGAGTGTGAACACAAATCCTTTTCATGTATGAATCATTACTTTATGAGGAGCTTTGGCCTTTAAATATGGAAAATATACTAAATAATTTGCTCATGGTCTCCATTATTTTTGCCATGACCAGTCGATGACTGTGCAGCTGATAAACACATTAATATGAGTGCTTTGAGTCAGAACAATTTAGACATTTCATATCTAAGAGTTTCAGCTCGTCACTGGTCTGAAATGTCCAATTGAAATGCTTCCATTCACAACTCAGTTCTTTATTTGGATTCCCATCTGTTCAGAGGAACATGTCATCGAACAACTGTGCTCTCAGTGAATCATCCAACAGGGATGAGGTCATCCTTCTCTGATCAGAAACTGACTTGATAATAGTACAAAAGCAGCATAATTAACTATCAATATAAAGGATATGATTCTTTAAGAAATGTTTTATGTGTTGTGTTTTCTTATGAATACTTCTGTTGAACTACCCCAAAACCAGTTGAAATACATATATATATGTATATAATCCTTTAAAACTGAGCTTGTTTTTTCTATGTAGACGAGTGTTCATGGTTTGCTTGTCAATTTACTATTGTGAAGCTACGGGAAATGTAGTGAAGGTGGCTGACTGAACGAATGCAAGTGTTTCTGTGGTATATACATTTGCTCTTGCACAGCACACTCCTTGCCAATGTTTAGATATTCAAGGTTGTATTGACACTGATGTTATGGTATTGAGGAGGCTCCATGTGGGAGACTTGATATGCAAACTGCTGTCTCTAAGATGCCTGACATCCAGCTCAAATGTCAATATATATCACCTTTAGCCAGCCATCCTGTGCTTTCCACCATCCAATCAATAAACTGCACACATTACGAGGTTTTAGCTATCAATTTAGTTGGAACCCCACTGACTGACAGTCAAATTCATCTAGTAGTCAAACCTGAAACTGATCGCCTTTCTTTAATAGTTTTGCTTTGGCCCACTCGCCTTCTCCCAAATACTCCTTACTTCTGACTGTGCCATTCCTCAGAGGTGAAAGGTGTAAGAAGAGCTGGTAAACTCACTCCCCTGCGCTGTTAGAAGTAGGTCGGCCCAGGCAGTGACACTCCTCTGACGCAGGTGATACAGTAGAGTCCACAAATGTTGCCTTATGTAAGACACATTTACACTAAATAGGATGTCTGGAACATTGATACAGTACAATGTAGAAGCACAGCTCTACTTGTTGCTCCTCGCTTAATCTAATATCATTTTCAGTTTTAGTCCATAAATGTATATTATTGTTAATGTACGTAAGTTTACCCTCTTTCATATTTGATTTGGGGCTTGGTGACTGCTGCTAAATGATTCAGACAAAATTGATTGAACTGGTTTGTTCAAAAGGATCAGAGGAAAAATAAACAGTAAATAATTTATATTTCATATGATGCTGTTCCTCGAGTAAATCCTCAGATTTTGATGATACATGAAGTTCGGGCTGGAGTCTGTGAGCTTATGCTTCTGTTCACATATTACAGTGTTTACTTCTACAACACGTGTGTAATGTCAGCAATTAATAGTAAACAAAGACAATTACAATCTATTTTTATAAGCAAATAATGTGCAATGCAATGTTTTGATATGACAAATATCGTTCTCTGACATTGCGGACATTGCATCTCTACTCGTGCATCAGTTTACCGACAATGCACTGAGCATTACAAAGACTGGCAACAGTTGCTTCTTGATAGACTGTCAGGCAAAGATCGCTAACTTGTGGCTGTTTCACTTATTATAATGTGCCTCACGGGCCAGCCATCTGTTAAAACCATCTGCTCCTGTGTAATCTACATCAATATTAACCAAAAGTCTGTGAAAGCTAATGAGTTTGTCTAATACTAGCAACATGTACTGCTGTTCCTCCTAGCAGATGCTTTAATGCCAACCATGTCATTTACACCAATATCCAACACTTTAGTGGATAGCTGAACCTGAAGCTAATGAGATTTATTAAATGTGATGTCTTGGTTTCTATTTGTCTTGCTTCAGGAGAGTTTGGAGTACATCTTCATGATCGTATTCACGTTAGAGTGCTTTCTGAAGATAGTGGCGTATGGGCTCGTGTTTCATGACGGCGCCTATTTACGGAACTGTTGGAACATATTGGACTTTGTCATCGTCTTCATGGGGTAAGATGAGCTCTGAGCTGCAGGTGGATATCTTTACCGCAGCTTCCCATTCACCACATAAGAAATGTAATATCTTACAAGTATACCAAAACTGTACTGTTGTTCTTCTGAATCATCATTTTTGTTTGGTAGGCGCTTATGGTTGTATAACATTTTCCTACAGTCTCTTCACTTTTGCCTTGGATACCATCAATAAGTTAGCAGATGTGCCTGTGGAGAAGGGTGGAGGGTTTGACATGAAGGCGTTGAGAGCCTTCAGAGTGCTGCGACCCTTACGTCTCGTCTCTGGGGTCCCCAGTAAGAGCCTGTTCTAAAACCCAAAAATGCTCAAAATGAATTCCATGTCACACAGTGTGATCAATATGGAACCGATGTTAATGTGAAGTCAGATTTCTGGAGGCACTGCTGATTTCCTGTGCTTTTGTAATGATTTGTTTTTATTGTTCACATTCAGGCCTGCAGGTGGTGATGAACTCCATCCTCAAAGCCATGCTGCCTCTGCTGCACATCGCCCTGCTGGTGTTTCTACTGGTCACCATCTATGCCATCATGGGACTGGAGCTCTTCAAGTGCAAAATGCATAAAACCTGCTATTACACCGGCACAAGTATGCATACAGAAATGTATGCGTTGCAGCAGCATAAAAGACCATGCAATGTACATAAGAGAAATTAAAAGACTAGAAAAAAAACATTTTTCAAATTTAAATAAATTAGCATTAAAAAAGAAAAAAATATATGTGGAAAATATAACAAAAATATACAGCAGGATATTATATATACATAACATGTGCAAGGAATGGATTATAACATATTAAATTGAATATAAATGTAAAACGTACAGTGGGAGTTTAAGTCCAGTTATCAAGAGAAGCTATGGAGCAAAGAGTTAATTCCCTGTAGCGACATTCAAAATGATATGTACGTGATCTCTTTTTCCCCACAGATATTTACTCCACAGCAGAAGCAGAGCTGCCTGCACCCTGTGCTCAGGCAGGAAACGGTCGGCGCTGCATGATCAACGGCTCTGAGTGTCGGCCAGGCTGGGAGGGTCCTGACAATGGCATCACCCACTTTGATAACATTGGCTTTGCCATGCTTACAGTGTACCAGTGTATCACCATGGAGGGATGGACCAAAGTGCTCTACTGGGTCAGTGACTGCTTGAACATCTTCTCAGTTGTTTTTCAGTTGTAATCTCTTCATCAAAAACGTAAAATGTTTCCTAAAGTGTAACGAGCAGAATACATTGTGTCTGACCAAGAGTTGTCTTTCAGGTTAATGATGCCATGGGAAATGAATGGCCCTGGGTCTACTTCGTTCCCCTCATTCTGCTGGGTTCCTTCTTTGTGCTTAATCTGGTTCTGGGCGTGCTCAGTGGGTAAGCCATATATTTATATTTTCTCCTTTTAGAGTCTGTATCTTGCCTCTTGTGTGCACACAAGCTTACAAATAACCAAATAAGCAACCAAAAAAGCACTCATTGCCTCCTACAAACATTCCCTCACTAAACATTTATTAATTTACTTATTTACCTCCTCCTCTCACATACCTTCTCAAACTCTGCTCACAGTTATCCATACATGAATACACGACACACTTACTCCACTTTCATACATGCACACAGAAACGTACAATACCCCTACTAACACCATATGTAATACATAACATCTTTAATTTGTTTTGTGTCATTTTCTGTGTATTTTTTCATGTTACTTTTTACTATGTCACTACGAAATCAATCAAAAATAACCCAATTTGCTTTTTTACTTGTCTTTGTCTTTTCACTCAGAGAGTTTACTAAAGAGCGAGAGAAGGCCAGGTCACGAGGAGAGTTTCAGGAGTTGAGAGAGCGGCAGCAGCTGGATGAAGATGTGAATGGCTACATGGAGTGGATCACTCACGCTGAAATCCTGGATGCCGACCGAGAGGGCAAAGGTCAGTGTTATAAACCAGCTTAGCTCCCATCTCATCTAGAGACACTGTTAAATGACAATAGTTTTTCTGTTGTCAGGACTCCTGCCTTTAACCAGTGATCCTGATAAAGACAGCCTGTATGACATGGAAGGCAAGAGTCGAGTCGTCTACTACTAGTAAGTCTGCAGATACGTAAATGTATGAATGTTTAAATGCAATATTCATGCAGACCGGGCACAGTTAACTATGATTATTATTGTGCTTAGCCGCCTGGCCCGTCGCTGGAACCGTTTCTTTAGGATGAAGTGCCTTCTGTATGTGAAAACAAAGTCCTTTTACTGGCTAGTGATGTTCCTCGTCCTCCTCAACACCCTGACCATAGCAACAGAGCACCACCACCAGTCAGATTCACTCACTTCCCTACAAGGTGATTCAATCATTTTGTCATTGGGATTTTTTTGTAAATAAGTTATATTGCTCCCTTCTTCATCATTTGTCTCTCTCCTCTATTATGTCAACAGATGTGGCCAGTCGTTTACTGCTGGTGCTGTTTATAATCGAGATGTTTGTGAAGATGTATGCTCTGGGTCCGAGAGCTTATTTCATGTCCCTGTTTAACCGCTTTGACTTCTTCGTGGTGCTATGCGGTATCGTAGAGATGATCATGTTTTCTGCAGGAGCCGTGGCTCCCCTGGGTTTCTCTGTACTCAGGTGTATAAGATTGCTAAGGATCCTAAAAGTAACAAAGTAAGACATTCTCCCATCAAGGATCCAATTAAATAAGCTTCATTGTGATTAGATTTAATTTAACGTCTTCTTCCAACTGTTTTGCAGGTACTGGACCTCTTTGAGTAATCTTATAGCTTCACTCCTCAACTCTGTACGCTCCATCGCCTCCCTGCTCCTTCTTCTCTTCCTCTTCATCGTAATTTTCTCACTTCTGGGCATGCAGGTGTTTGGGGGGAAATTCAACTTCACCGATAACAGACCCAGACGCAGTAACTTTGACAACTTCCCTCAGGCCCTCATCAGCGTGTTTCAGGTGAGGCTGATTCATTGATGCTTTGCTTTAAACTCTTATCAATGTCAGCTTTTGTTAAACTTCCTTGTTGGATTTTGATCATAATTGTAACACTTGGCTCTTTTTTAGATCCTAACAGGAGAGGACTGGACATCAATAATGTACAATGGAATAATGGCCTATGGAGGGCCTGTGTTTCCTGGCATCTTGGTCTCCATTTTCTTCATCGTCCTCTTTGTCTGTGGAAACTGTATCCTTCACACTTATAATGTCTTCAAGGATTACACAAGGCCGAGGGTCTTTAGAGTACGCTTTGTGTAGCATGGTAGTAGTTTAGCTGTATGCTAGGTTAGCTCATTAGCATGCTAATATTTGCTTTCAGCCTTCAACACAGTACAGATTAGTTTGTTGCAAAGATTATCTGGGTATTGTACTTTTCTGTAAACCATTTTATAGCAATCCATCCAATAGTTGTTGAGATATTTCCGTCCGGACCAAAGTGGTAAGCCAACTGACCGATTGACTATCCAACCCAGTCTCACGGCATTTCGTGTTATAGTCACGACATTTAATCTATTGGTTCGTGTTCGCCAACACGATTTTCCCCTTTTTTTCGTGTCACACAGAACGATTTTAAAAGCAATGTATTTCTATTGGTAGTATGTTTCGTGCCTGCAACACGTCTTTTTGTCCGGTCGGGTCTTGGAAGACCGGAAGCTGTGTGGTTCATAAAAACATGTTCTTACTCGATATCAAGCCACAATCATTGTTTTTATTTTAAATCGTATAATGTCGGACTTTTTTTGCCGTCCGCGAGGAAAAGAAATGGGGCTCAGAGCCTCAGAATACTGAAATCTGTATTTTTTAAATCTTTTTTTCCTTCTAACTTGTTATTCTTTTCTAAATAACACACTGTTATTTACTCATCAATAACACACAATTATCCTTGTTTTTATTTATTTGTTTAATATTCTATAACCTCTGGCTTTTTTGACGTCCGTCAGGAACTGAATTTCAAAATAAAATAACCGGAAACAGATACACACCCACTGAACTGATTACCCAAGTTCCTCAACTATGGTTGAAGCTCGGTGATTGGATTGTACGTTGGAATGTGGTGTTAAAAATCCGAAATCCGAAAAACATTAAAAATAATAATAATAATAATTTAATGACCAGAACTTGTATTCATATCAACAATGTTGTTAAAAACAAGGTTTTTGTTTTCCTGAGCTTAACGCAATCAGATATCCTTCTCAATGTCTTCTTGGCCATCGCCGTCGACAACCTGGCAGAGGCTGAGAGTCTGTCTTCAGCTCAGAAAGAAAAGGCGGAGGAGAAGATGAAGAGAAAGCTAATGAGGTGAAATCAAATCAAGTTTTATTTATATAGCACATTTAATCAAAATACCATAGGCTACCTAAGTGTGATGATCTGCTCAGTCTCATTGTTAAATTATCCCATCTCCATTCTTGTTCTTTCCTGCCACTCAGGTCCAAAAACCCTGAAAAGACTGACGAGGAGAGGGAAAGGATAGCTAAGAAACTGGCAGAGCAGAGAGGCAAGATAGAATGCATTTCCACCACAGCCAAGGTGAGTGTTATCTAGAAGCCTATCGAACTATTACTATTGGCAATTAAATATTCATCAGGGGCATAAGTAGCTATAATATATGTATGTATTGTTTCAGCTCAAAATTGACGAGTTTGAGTCCAATGTCAACGAAGTGAAAGATCCATTCCCACCTGATGACTTTCCAGGTAACTTCTACTTTTCTTGGATCTCCAGCTCTTAAATCTCTCACATTTCTCATCGATGTACTTGTGGCTGCAGGAGGTCACTGATCGCATGAGTTCATATTCATTACACTGCCTGTTTACCACTTGCTGCTTTCTTGGCTATGTTACAGTATAAGTATAGTAGCCCACATTATAATTAGACTGAGCCAAGTTTACAGCCGAGTCTAAAATTAGGTTTTTTTTCACACTTCTCTGGTGACCATATAAAGTCTTTAACATGAATCAGTATCGAGAGATTCACTTTTTTTCTAAAAATATTAGTTACATTTATTTGTGGCATTTTTGCCTTTATATACTTTTCTGTAGTGCTGCAACATAACTACAACTAATATGTCAATTTGTAATTTCACCATATCATTTTAGTCTGTTTGTTTCCTCATGGTAGGTGATGATGAGGAGGAAGAGCCTGCAATCCCCATCAGCGATCGGCCCCGACCGATGGCCGATCTGCAGCTGAAGGAGGAAGCCGTTCCATTGCCCGAAGCCAGCTCCTTTTTTGTTTTTGGCCCTCAGAACAAGTAGGAACCAGACCTAGTGAACTTATTTCCCAGTTTGCTCATACTGTCTCATAAAAACACAGCAGTGAATTGATTGAACTTACTGGTGACTGCATGTATTTGCAAATTTGTTTGCATCCAGGTTCCGTAAACTCTGCTACAAGATCATCAACGCCTCTGCCTTCACCAACTTAATCCTTCTATTCATCCTGCTCTCCTCCATCTCCCTGGCAGCTGAGGACCCCATCGACCCAAAGTCCTACAGAAACAAGGTAACCAGGTCTACCACTACAAATTGGACATCATTGGTTGAACGAAGGCTACATTTTTTGCAATCATTGTGCTTTTTCTCCAGATCTTGGCCTATGCTGACATTGTCTTCACAACTGTGTTCACCATTGAGATTGTACTGAAGGTAGTGTGCAGTTTATTTCATGTTGTCCCTTATTTAGATTTGACTGATTTTCTTTTAAGTCCAGGAACCAGATAACAGATCTATACATATATAGCGTGTCATGGAAATCCATCAAATATGTGTTGAGGTATTTCAGTCTGGGGCAAAGTAGTAAGCCAACTCCCTGACTGACCATCACAACCAATACCTGCTGGAATAGTCAGACCATCAAATGTATTTATCAATGGGACACCCGTTCCTCTGACTGAAAGAAAAGCTTACACTCAAATGTGTTAATTATTCTGAGTGTGACTCTATGTTTCTGACTGACAGATGACAGTATATGGAGCATTCATGCACGAAGGCTCCTTCTGCCGTAACTCCTTCAACATCCTGGATCTGATTGTCGTTACAGTCTCCCTGCTTTCTATGGGGATGGAGTGAGTAACATTTTGGGATTGCCATATAAGATAACGATCATAAATATTGTCATCCCATATAAAGAGGATTGTTTATCATGGGTTTTATTCAGGTCGAGTGCCATCTCTGTGGTGAAGATTCTCAGGGTGCTGAGGGTGCTGAGGCCTCTCAGGGCTATCAATAGAGCCAAGGGGTTAAAGGTAAAAAACACGTTATGAAATACAGTAATACTCAAGCCTTAAACATTTTTAAATTCTAAGTATTAAACAGTAAAGTGGTCATTGTTTGTCTTTAATGGCAGCATGTGGTCCAATGCGTATTTGTGGCCATCAAAACCATCGGAAACATCGTCCTGGTCACCATGCTGCTGAATTTCATGTTTGCCTGTATTGGGGTGCAACTCTTCAAGGTAACTTTTTAAAAGATGATGTTGACACTTCATGTACTGTAAAGGTCATATATAAAAAATGCATCTGTTTTAAGTAAAGTTTATGTGCTGGAAATGTAATAAACATGTCCCTATGTTTTTCGTCTTAGGGTAAATTCTACAGCTGCACAGACATGTCGCAAATGACGGAGGAGAAATGCCAGTAAGGCAAACATCTTTTACATATTTGAGATTTAATCTATTAAAAATGTAAGGTTATTTTAGAGTAACGATTTTCCTTGTCTGCTCTTAGGGGATACTTTGTAAAGCACATGGAGAATTCCCTTCAAGAAACAACGTTGGCAAAGAGAGAATGGCTCAACAGTAACTTCAACTTTGACAATGTGCTCAATGGCATGCTGGCTCTCTTCACGGTTTCAACATTTGAGGGCTGGCCAAAGTAAGCAAAGCATCATTTTTTTAATTTGATGAATTGTATTTTCCTTTATCCTATATGTGGAAAGCAGACTATCTTAATACATTAATATTGAGTTGGAAGTAATTCCATTTCCTGGAGCCAGAGATGGTAACAGAGGCAATATATCCTTTTTAAGCATTGAATTATACAGTACAATTCATCTGTACAAATTAGCCTCGTGGTATCTCTGATCTTTGATCTGTGTCCCGTCAATTTCCTATCATCTCTCAACATCACTCCATTTTCCCAGATTGTTATACAGAGCCATTGATTCAGACGAAGAAGACATGGGTCCTGTCTTCAACAACCGCGTGGATGTGTCCATCTTCTTCATCATCTACATCATCCTCATCGCCTTCTTCATGATGAACATTTTTGTGGGCTTTGTCATTGTCACTTTCCAGAAGCAGGGCGAGCAGGAGTATAAGGACTGTGAGCTGGACAAGAACCAGGTACGCTAGGGAACCTCAGAGATTTCATTTTGGACAGTCAGTGTCCAATAGTGAGTCAAGTGACAAATGATCTTTTCTCCTAACCTACCTTCTGCCTCCCTTCAGCGTCAGTGTGTGCAGTACGCCCTAAAGGCCCGACCTCTGAGGTGCTACATCCCCAAAAACCCGAATCAGTACAGAGTCTGGTACATTGTCACCTCCTGCTACTTTGAATACCTCATGTTCTTCCTAATTATGCTCAACACATTGTGTCTGGGGATGCAGGTATGTATTTTCAAGTTGTGCAACATAAAACCATTGCGATTCTGTTGAGGTTTCTTACAATATTCAGTGTCTTTGGATGTGGGTGTTAGTATTAATATTCAGGGTGCTCTAAATGATTTGTTTTGTTTATTAAATTAAAATCTACTTTGCATTCAAACAAATTACACCTTAGATCTGTTTGCAGGTTTCACCATCATTTCTATTGTAAATTACTCTTGTACCATGTTGAGTAATATTCATTTTAATTTTGAACAGCATTGTAACCAGTCGAACCATGTGACCGAGCTGTCAGACATCCTGAACATGATTTTCACCGTGCTCTTCACTGTGGAGATGATTCTAAAGCTCATGGCCTTCAAAGCGAGGGTAATGATTTCACACTTTGTGATTCAAATGTCTATCCACCCAACCCAGTGTCAGCAACGACTTTTCTGTCTGTACAGGGCTACTTCGGAGACCCCTGGAACGTCTTTGACTTCATCATCGTTATTGGTAGTGTAGTTGATGTCATACTGAGCGAAGTCGATGTGAGTATGAATGATACGTTATGATCTAATCTAATGAATTCGACAGATAAAAGATTCTCATTGCAGGTGCTATATATGAAAGTCCCTAGTGTTGTTTGAGTTAGATATTCCTGGTCAGTAGTGTGATTCGATTTGAAATGACTGAATACATTTATTCAACTCACCAGATGTGGTCAGTACTGTCGTTAGCCATTTCCATCCCAACCTCAGAGGCATCGCCATATCATCAGCAAAGCACTTCCCATTATTCCCACAATTATCCATAACAATATTTTCATTGAACGTTTGTGTATTGTCTGCGTTCTTAAAACTAAAAAGAAGCACATCATCAATATAGGGTTTTTAATGGTATTTTTTGTGGTTATGTTACACAGCACAATGGTTTTGTTCCTAGTCACTTTTTCCTCTCCATTGTTTCACTGCATTGTTTTCACCTTTTCATCCACAAACACATGCCTGTAGACATTTTTGTTCCCTCCATCCTTTTTCATTTTCTTCTTTTATTGCCTTTTTCCCTGTCATCCCTCTGTCCTCCACACACCTCACTCCTCGTCTGTCTATCCTCCACAGAGTGCCCTGGCCGCCAGTGGAGGACTGTACTGTCTCCATGGCTGTGCTGTAAATATCTTCACTTCACTGCACTGCACTGCTGCATGAGTCTTGCTGTGTGAGCACTCCACCATGTTCTCTACTAACTGTAATACTACTGAACCGTGTGTGGCTCAAACTTCATGGTAAACATCTGTGTCCCTACGGGTCTATCTAATCTTACAGAGCAAGTGTAAGATAAGACCTCAAGATGTTCGATATATTGTGTTCCAGTATGGCTCGAAATGTATAGAACACTGAATATATCAGCATTGCAAGTATTAATGGTGTTTGGAATGACTGTAATCCTTATATTTTGACAATTAAGTGTATATATACAGAATTTCGCATGAGTCAGGTATTGCAGTTTTCAGCAACTAAGACCTGGAGGCTTTGTAACTTTGTAACTAAGTTAATTTTAACTGTGTTTTGTGATTGTAAATCATACCTTTAAGGGATGGTTCAGATTGTATCAACAGGGGTTGTATGAGGTATTCATCCACAGTCAGTGTATTACCTAGTTACCCAGTACATTGCCGTTAGCACGCCCAGTTTGGAGATATGGACAGGAGTGCTGTTTTTGGTCAATCCAAGCTAACCAAAGTCACAAAAATGCCACAATAACAGTACACGGGTAATTTAGCTAGAATAATTTTTCGGGTCATGTCGGGAGACTTTGAAGAGTGAACAGTGTTGTGATATAAAGAATTCAGTTCCTAGTTTGACAGCTGGGTAAAGCATTGGACATGTTTTAAAGATAGAATAAACTTAAATATGTTTTATGTTGGCCTTTCTTTAAGGTGGCTAAAAATAAATTTGACTGATTTTCCAGTCCAGAGCAATTAATAGCTTTTCTCTGTGCAGCTACTCCTATTTGTTTTACTTCAAATGTGCTGTAGTAATACACTGACTGTGTATTATGTGATATGTACCTCATATAATCCCTGTTCATGTAACCCACACCATCACTTTAATAATGTTTAACAGGACAGTGTCATGTCTGCTCTGTGCCTTTTTTTAATGATATTATAACTACTATCAAACATAACCCTAAAAGTCACTACAGTATATCATCTTTTCATCTGCTTTTTGCAGGAGACAAATCCTTTGCAAGCTATTGCGGTAAGCCTAAACTTAATTAGTATCAAACAGCAGCAATGTTTTGCTCTTTAAGTTGTTGTTTTTCTTAAATCTTCTGGATTTCTGTTCTCCCTAGGCATCTGAAAATGCGTCAGTTTCCATCACGTTCTTCCGACTTTTCCGTGTCATGCGTCTGGTCAAGCTGCTGAACCGTTCGGAGGGCATCCGTAATCTACTGTGGACTTTCATCAAGTCCTTCCAGGTCGGTCACAATGTGGTCATAACATAATTTAAAATGTGTATCTCACTTTAAACATGCTTTTAATAACCTAAATGTTTGTGTTTGTGTCTGCAGGCTCTTCCTCATGTAGCTTTGCTCATCATAATGCTCTTCTTTATCTACGCTGTCATTGGGATGCAGGTACTCAAGAATTTTCATTTTCCTGATTAAACATTTGAAACTCTGCAGGTTATTAGTATAAAACAAGTTTCTGTTTTTGTCACCGATTTTGACTTGGATTTTAACAACTCTTCAGATCTTTGGAAAGGTATCCTTAGTGGATGGCACCCAAATCAACCGCAACAACAACTTCCAGACATTCCCTCAGGCTGTTTTGATGTTATTCCGGTGAGTCTCTAAGCCGGGATCATTGGTGAAAAGCTCTGGATGAAAGGTCCAAATCTGAGCCAAACTCTCATTGTTGTATATATGCAGGTGTGCTACTGGAGAGGCATGGCAAGAGGTCATGATGGCTTCAATGTACGGGAAGAAGTGTGACCCCAAGTCTGACTTCCTGCCAGGAGAGGAGTTCACCTGCGGGTCCAATTTTGCTGTCTTCTACTTCCTCAGTTTTTACTGCCTCTGTGCTTTCCTGGTGAGCAGCAGCAGCATTAGGATCTGTTGTTTTATTGTAGAAATCCCCGTTGCCCCGAATGGTTAAAACTATAAAATACTTTTATTTTTATTTGTAATTGAATTTTAGATCCTCAACTTGTTTGTGGCTGTCATCATGGACAACTTTGACTATCTGACCCGTGATTGGTCTCTTCTCGGTCCCCACCATCTGGACGAGTTTAAGAAAATCTGGGCTGAATATGACCCTGAAGCCACGTAAGCAAAATAAAAACACTCATGAAACTTTATCTTTACATTTTTGTATGCTTTGTTGCACAACAAATAGGCCATACTTCATTCGGTGTCCCTTAAATTATGGTAAGATGTTTCTCTGATCCAACAGGGGGAGGATTAAACATCTGGATGTTGTGACGCTGCTGCGAAGCATCCAGCCCCCACTGGGCTTTGGAAAGTTCTGTCCTCATCGTGCTGCATGCAAGGTACATACAGACACATGGTGCATTCATATAAATACAACTCATCAGAAAAGCAGCTAGAAGGGTTTTAAGTATGTGTATTGATATCATTAACAATGCATTAAAATCACTGTAGATAGGAAGTGAACTAAATTAGCAAATACATATACAAAACACAAAAATAGACTGCTCTATTTATTGATGATACATGATACATTTAAAAAAAAAGACAAGGTTTACATTTGGATCAATTAAATTAGCAAAAGAAAAGCAGTGAATTAATGTGAATAAAGTATTAATAATATAAACAAGATCATATATTGTTTTTAAAGATTAAGTATTTCACAAGAAGGGTTTGGCACAGTAGCGTTTTATGTTTTTCTCTATATTTTTTAGATTTAAATTATGAATAAATATAATTTTTAACAGTGTCAGAGCCTTAAAAAATTATGTAAATAATATGTATATATTAACAGAAAATAGGGTGGTGTTAATATGAATATTTAAATAAAACTATAAACAAGAAAATATATATATATGTTTTTGATACTTTAAAAAATATTATTTGATTGTTATATATTTGTCCGGTGCCCAAATTCCCTCTACTTCCTGTCCGCAGCGCTTGGCTGGCATGAACATGCCTCTGAACAGTGATGGCACCGTCACCTTTAATGCCACCCTCTTCGCTCTCGTCAGGACTGCACTCAAAATCAAAACTGAAGGTACAGAGCATTGGAAATGGTGTTTGCTTCAACCTGATGTACGTAGTATCATTTATTAAATGTTTTATGGATTCTTCTGAGCAGGTAACTTTGAGCAAGCCAATGAGGAGCTGAGAGCCATTATAAAATCCATCTGGAAACGCACCAGTATGAAACTGTTGGACCAGGTCATCCCCCCTATGGGAGGTGAGTCTATCTTTATAGATAAAGTTATTTTACCTTTAGAAAATGATCCAGTATTTTGCACACTGACAGCTCTATGACTTGCCTGGTTACAGATGATGAGGTGACGGTGGGGAAATTCTACTCCACCTTCCTGCTCCAGGAACATTTCCGTAAGTTCTTGAAGCGCCAGGAGGAGTACTACGGCTACCGACCCAGTAAAAAGAGCGCCTCCGGCCCAGAGATCCAGGTGAGCGCTCATTATCAGTAATTAAATCATGCTATGAACTAATTGTTGTGCATATTGTTTCCTTAAAGTGTCTGCAGGGTATTTTCTAATAGGATGACATGGTTTACCAAACAATAGTATATGTTGAAAGATATTTTTTAAAAGTCATAATATGGTACTCAAAAAAACATTATAAAAATCGAATTTTGTATCTCCAAAAGAAAAAATAGTATAGTGTGTCTACAAATCTGAAAAAGGTGACAGCAATGATTGCTAAAAACATTTAAACAAATCCACATAGTGTAGCATATATAAAGTATAACGCTATAGAATAGTATTTTATGTCGAAATAATTTGAATAAAATGAAATAGTATAGTATTTCAAAAATATGCAAAGTATAGTGTATAAATATAGTGTATGTCGAAAATATGAGAAAAACGGCATAGTTTACTATGTTGTAAATATCTGAAATGTAAAACAAAATCATGTATATCGAAAACAAAATTGTTTAGTATGTTGTACATTTTTAGAAAATTATGAAGATCAGTCAAAAAGAACTCATAGTATTTGGAAAATATCATAGTATAATTTCATCTTTCCTTTTCTTTTCTGGTTATTACCCGTCCCCTTGTGTGTTATGTAGCTTTTTCTGCATGTAAACGGTCTGCAGAGCCACAAACCCTCAAAGTACACCCTGTAGCGAGTAAAACTCTAACACAGAAAAGACCTGTCTATGCTGCCCCAGAACGCCTCGTTGGAGAATTCTCTTTTTCCATTTTTTTTCTTCCTGAGTATGGTGACGTAAAGGTACCCAGGTCCAAATGGACCAATCCGTGGAGCTCCTCACACACACTCACTCAGCCTTGTCTTTTCTCAGCCGCGCTACTCCGCGGAGTTTCGCCGGCACACACACTCACGCAGGCTGTGAGTGTGTGGCGAACTGTGTGGCGAACAGCCTGGCTGTGAGTGTATGCTCAGGCTGAGTTCCGCGGTGTCTGGCTGTCTCGCAGACCCAGGGCGGTCCGTCCCTACAAGGCCGATCATGCAAACTGCGTGGGGCCTCACCTTGCGGAGGGGGCCTCATCTTGCGGAGATGGGCGGATCATGGCGGAGCAGCGAGCCCCACAACGTCCCGCCAACACGGCACCCAGACCCCACGCAGCATTCTCATCTGTTTGTCATTGCTGGTGTCATTTTCTGGTTGCTAACAAACGCCATTGTAACACATAATCACTGATGTTCCGCTGTAACGGTGGTGGACTCATCAGAACAGAGTGGGCGAGCTGACGAATCAGAGCACAGTGGGCTCACAGGGAGGGGGGGGGGCAGGAGCTCCAACAAGCCATTTAGGACAGAGAGTGAATACACATACTATGCAGAGATGCTGTATGAGAAACCAATGTGAGTTTGGAACATTGAACAATGTAAATCTATTCTAGTAGACCTCAACAATGGCATTATGATCAGTAGAAATGGCCATGTCACCCTGCTGTGAGCCTCTTGCCCTTTCATGTTTCACATCCTCCATGTTATTTTAGGCGGGCCTGAGGAGCATTGACGATGAGGTCGCTCCAGAGATGCACCGGGCCATTTCAGGAGACCTGCAGAACGAGGAAGAGCTGGACAGAGCCATGGACGAGGCTACAGAAGACGGAATCTACCAGGTAACAAACACTGCCACAGAACAGATGTAAAATACTGTGTAAACGAAGTGACTGTCAATTAGATAATCTGTGTCTCGTGTTGCTCTGTCTTTCTAGCGTTCTCACGGTCTGTTTGGTAACCGGGTGGACTCCTTCTCCTCTGAGCCGGTCAGCACTCAGGCCCAGCATATGACCAACCAGCGGCCCCTGCAGTTCTCCGAGAGCCAGGTGGAGTCTCCACCAAACTCTGCTGCCTTGGAGCCCACTACTGAATTTTTCCCAAAAAGCAACACTAACAACAACGCCTTCGCAGAGTGAGTACAAACACACTCCAAACTATCGAGGAGACCAGATGACATCTGCTCAGCGTGAATATGTCTGAGCCTTCATGTTGTCTTCCAGGTTTTCATTTGACAGAGAAGGCAGAGAAGGCAGTCCCGAAGACTTTTACAATCACAGTGAGGCAGAGCCTGGTACGTAAAAAAGTATTTGGATAATCAATCGTTCTTTCCCCTAGAAGCTGCTAACAAGATAGTACAAATACAAAACACAAAGATGATTTGAGACCAACGCAGACAACAAGTCAATAATCCTATGAAGGGCTAGTAAGTCTTGGAACATTTCCCTTATTGACAAGGCCTCATGAAAACCTTTTTCTTTAAGTATGTGGGAAATATAAAAAACATATGATCTGATTACAGGTCAAACAACATACTGTGTTTGGTGTATTGTATACTACTTTTCCAGGCACTTTACTTTACACATAGGCAAATCAAGTTCACATGAAATCCGGTACCAAAGAGGTAGAAATCATGCAATTCAATTTATTTTCCTTTATTCAGGAAACCTGCGCTCCTGGAACTACATTGTGAGAACAGACAAAACACAGGTACTATTTTATTGGAGACTGATTCAACCACTGAATAACATTTTATTTAGATATTAAGTATAGAATCATATCTTTCTTTTCAGTTCCCCTATGACCCTGAGTATGGTGACAGTCAGAGTCTGAGCTCCCATACGGCTGCAGACCAGCTGGTCCAGGAGGTAAGTGAGAAAGGATCAGTCATCGATACGTGAGCTTTGAGGATGACTCAGCAAGTGCTCTTTTCTAGGTTTATCATTTATTTGAGGGAGGAGATGTTCGCTGGGAGGCCGCATGGGAGGGACCTAGGTATAATCTTTCTTACTTTCCTCTTTTTCTCCATTATTAATACAAAATTAATAAAATACATAATAACATAAGGGAAGGATCTCCGACTGCCCATCTCTTTTCCTTTTAGCAGGAAATGTCCTGATTTGCTGTTAGAGCTGTGATAAATAGGTCATAATAAACTTAACAAAGCAACATTTAAGTGTTAACTTATTTGGAAACACATTCTCATTGTTATGGTAACAATGGGTAGTCATTGTAGGAAATTATTTGTGAAACACTATTAATCAAAGCTGAGCTGTAAAGCAAATGATTTGAATTGTATTTCCCCCCGAGGTGTCTTTGTGAAAGAGACTCACTGTGCCACATGCAGGATGTTCTGGAGCTGACTCTGCATGCTTTCACCCGCAGGGCCCAATGAAAAATCAGAAATGTCAGAATAAAGGTGGTTCCTAATATTAACAACTCCCCTGTGGGTTTTTGGTTGATTGTTGGTACAGGTATTACCAGTAACAACAATAATGGTGAGAAAAGTTGTCAATTTTTAAGCAAGCTTAAACATTTGCTTGTTTCCTCTTCCAGGCTCTAGCACAGGGCGGCCTGTCCTCCCTGGCCAAAGACCCCAGCTTCGCCTCTGTTGCTAGGCAGGAGATGGCGGATGCTATGCACACATCTGTCAATGACATGGAGAGCGTGGCTCTGGGCATCCTCAGCGAGCGCGCCGGCAGCGTCGCCTCTGACAAAAACAGACGTCCCATCCCAGTCCCCCCCGTGGCAGCTCAGGGAGCCAGAAGGCCCGATCCGGCGGTGAGGAGGAAGAGACGTCCCATCCCCCAGATTCCCTCCGTAAAGGAGGCCGACTCCGAGGTTTAGAGGATGGCTCTCGAGTTAATGTGGTTAACTTTGGATTTTAACACTTGCAGGTGGCTCCACCTCACCGAGCTTTACTAAGCTTGTTGCCCCTGTGACAGTCTGTATCTACTAGCCTAGCTTAAGGCCTAAAGGCATATTGGCTCAGGTTTAACTTATTATCAAGTGTGGTTGATACTCAACCAGGGACAAACAATACATCTGATGCTGAAACATCTTCTTAATTTTCAGATGTATTGAAAGTAATAAAAAGACTATCTTATCTCAGAGTGGACAGATTGACGCACTTCTTTCTTTGTGGCGTTTGTGGAGGTTATCCATTCCATATGACTGATGGGACAACTATGTGAGTGAGCTGAGGGCCTCACTAAAGACTAATACAACCCGCTGAATTAAGACAGGCAGCCACCTTTAGTGTGCTGCAGTTCAGTGAGGACAGAAGGGAAGTTTCTGAGCGCCCAGAGATGTTCATCTTGCATTCAGTTCACACTCTTAAAAAGGCTCTGGTGCTACTATGCAAATGCAAGTTAAGCATTTCTTTATTTGTTGGTAAAGCAGCGTCCTCTGCTCAGTTAGGCCTGCTCTATTTTAATCTTAAATAACTGAGGTTTACCACGTTTTCTCCTGCTCACCACTGTCCTAATGTGCAGTTGGCAACAGCAGATTTTATAGAGGAAACACATTTTTTAATGTTGAACATATGGGGCACATTTAATCTCCAAAATAAGTATCCAAATGTGTATCTGTAATAGGGTATTTGTTTAATTTGAATCCATGTTGTGGTGAAGCAGTGTCACTTTAAGTCACTCTACTGCTGCCGTTTGTAAGTGTTTTTCATGTACATACATGTCAAACCTCTGACTTAGGGACACCTACTGAAGTTTGACCCGTACAGATAATGTATCTTCAGCATACCTGGAGTATGGTGGATTTAGCTTTACAGCTCAGAGGCTTATAACACATTGTATTTATATCACTGATAACATGGGCATAATTTAAGTGCACTTGTGTCATGTTTTGTGCCTCGATGCGAACAGTAACCGGCCATACAGAGGACTTTTTATCCTCTGATCAGCCTGTGTTTTGCTGCCATGCACACACTTTGTTGCACACTTTTCTTTGACTCAACATTATAGCACAACCTCGACTCTCCTTTTCTGGATATATGCCATTTAGGTTGATGTTACACTGGTGTTTTCACCATTGCAAACAAAATAAATGATCAAAAACATTTGCTTGTGTTAGTAGTTTTTTTCTGAATCCAACCATAGATGGACATGTTACAACACAAGCAGTTAATGGATAAGAACACACATCCACAACACAGGTGAGTTTTCTCTTGTAAATACAAATCTAATTAATGATAGAAGGGAAACTTGGTGTGGAGATAAACGCATGCTTTGTAAATCGCCCCCAGCAGAAGTTACAGTGTGAAAGCTGAGACCCTTTAAAAATAGTCTTGCCTGGCAAAGCACAGACTCCTACTTATGGAACGGAAAGTAATGCAGCAAGGTGCATTCTGCATTATGTTCAATTAAAGGGAGAACAAAAACACCTCAAAGCAGTCAAAAGCAGATTGTATGCTTGCATTACAAAGTAAGGAACAACAAAATCAAATGAGATTAAATATTTAAAAATGTTATTTATTGAAGCAATCAATAAAACAGACCTGACCAAATAGCATCATTGTTGACTGTTTCAAATTCCTAAAGCTGATTGAGAATATCAGACAAAGTGTCCTGATCGTTTTGACAAAGCTCCATGATCTCTTTATAGCATTGCTATTTGCAGCTCACTAAGGGTTTTCTTGAGCTATCACACACGGGAATGTTTCCACCATACTGCAACAACAGTTTCCTGATTAAGATTATGTTGTTTAAAAAGGGTAGCACATGAAAATGCAAATACATCTTTTAGTACACACAACAGATGACAGGCTTTAAAGCACACCGTTGAAAAGAGGGCAATAAACAGTATAAAAGCTGAGAACAAAAACTTGTTTCAGGTAAATGTGACGTATTTTATGAGGTTCTACAGTCTGATAAAAAATGTGATTCCCTCTGGTTTTAACTTGATTAAAATTATGTTTGTATGGATTATTATAATCACTCTTGTATGGCCAACTTGAGAAAGGGGCAGGCTTTTATAAATGTACATACATCCTGGTTTTTGCTGTCTATAAAGAACAACCCCCCCAAAACAACAAAGCAATACTCACTAATTCGCTACTCTAAAATATCCAAAGAAAATACATCGACATATAAAAAGGGAAATAACATGTGGGACCTAATGAATACATGATCTGGCTACAGAGATGTTGACCAGCCAGTGAGCAGCAAACGTCCAACTTGCCAAAATGGGGGTGCTCATCCTATTCATTGGGATTGGGGTTGGCGTCAGGATACACGGAGAGGTCAAAGGTCAGCACTTTGCTGATGACACAATCTCCTTGCTGTAAGGTGAAAGAGAAGCAGTTCATATTTTTAATCTTATGTAACACATATTTCCAATTTTCAGCTTAGGACGTTATCTGTGGGAAGTTTGAAACTAGATGCTCCAAATATGGCTTATAATGATGAATTATTCCAAATCTATAATATGTGTTTCCTGTAGTATTTAATGCTTCATATTTTCAAAGCCTGTGTCTTTTTTAAAGTCATACTGGTTCATAGAATGGTGGAAAACCAGTGGGGACAATTACATATAGTTAGTAACATCGTTATAAATACATTTTCATTATTTCCCAGCTGTGTATAAACCTTAATTTACAGAAAATATATTATATAATCAATTAACTTCACTTGGACCCAAAAAATTGCAAAATTGACCAATAGATTACCAAAAAATGAATATATTAAGACTTCTTGTTAAATTGACCCGCATGCACAATCCACTGTCAAAAGAAGCAATCGTTGTAAATACCTTTGTTTTCTTTCAAATACTTTTCAAAGCCTTATGGGGGTACATTTCTTTGTATTTTTTAAATAGAATATTAGGGAAACACACCTCTGGATAAACACCGATGAGTGAGTCGGCCTTGGTGTAGAACTCCTCTTTCAGAGAAATGACGATGGCCTGCGTGTGCACCGACTGGTCTTTAATATAATTGGCCACCTTGAAGGGACATGATAACACAATTATCAGGTGTAGTTTGCATTTAATGTGATGAGCACCATTAATAAAAAAAAACACCTTTGACATAAAAGGCACTGAATCCTGTGTGAACCCACCTTGCCAATGTTAGTGTTATCCAGAGCAGCGTCAATCTCATCCAGGACAAAGAAGGGCGCGGGTTTGTAGCTAGAGACGAGAGGAAGAGATGTTACCAACAGTGGTGATGTCATCATGAGGTGCCAGGCAATGTTAATACATGTATTGGATGTCTATATTTGTCTAGTTGTACCTGTGAATAGCAAAGAGCAGAGCCAGGGCAGCGACAGTCTTCTCTCCTCCAGACAGATTGTCCATGGGCCTGAACCTCTTTCCAGGGGCCACACAGTTATAGTTAATGCCGTCCAGGTATGGCTCCTCGGGGTTTTCTGGGCCCAGGAAAGCCTACAGAAGAAGAACACACATTACAGGAGGTTTTGCTTTCAGTCTACGATCTGTGTTAAAGGTCTCCCATTATACTATTTTTAAACATACAAAACACGTCGCGCATAGTTTCTGATAGCGACGTTTCTGATAGGGCCGTGGGTGTAAAGCCAGCCCACATTTCGGATATTAAGTCATATCGGACGCAAATCTGGATCAGCTCCGTTTTTAGAGAATTGGGTACGGAGGAAAAGAGAGAGGGTTGTGTTTTCTGACACTGTGTGAGGTCCCTGACACACCGGGGACATATTTATGTATAAAAGACATGAAAAAGTGCATTTTGCATGGTAGGAGACCTTTAACTGGCATAGTGTAAACCACCATTTGTACTAGGAGATTGGATTAACATTGTTCATTGTAAAATAAAAGACGGAGGCATACCTGGGCACTGCTGTTGCGTGAGAGGGCCTTGTAGATCTCATCGATGTTGGTGGCGACAGACTCAAAGCAGTTATTGAAGCGATCATACCTCTCCTTCTTAATCTGCTCAAAGGCTTGCTTGGCTTTCTTGGCTCTCTTACGAGCAGCCTCAAACTCTGAGGGGAAAACAAAGACAAAAGCATGAGATTGACCACAGGGATAACATGATGAAGATCTCTAGTAGGGTACTGCACCCTGTCGGTCCCTTTGTTTCTCATTTCATCTCAGTCCGTTCTATCTTTATGCTGCCATCTCACCATCACTGGTCTCCTGGAACTTGTCCCGCACGCTCTCCAGCTTCTCCATGGCCTTCATGTTGGGTGCACTGATCCTCTGGAGGATGCTCTGCTGCTCGTTCAGACGCTGCTGCAGTGTGTTGGTCTCGCCCTTGAACTCTTCCTCCGACAGTGCATCCTGTGGGACGTCAAACAAGATCAAATAAGATTTTGCTGCAAATGGCTCTTTTTCCTTTTGGTACAGCATATTGTTAAAGATCAAATGCAAAGCTTCCAAATATGCTACATTTTTATAGAAATGTTGTTTTTAAGACTGCCTGTATTTTTTATTTTATTTAAATCGAGATAATACACCCAAAAAAAAGCTTTTTATTGATCCAAAACTCGACCCAAAGCCGTCTGAATTTCTGACATGTAATTCCCAGCAGCCTCCGCGCGCGTGACGTAATAGTGGCCAAACAGTCTCTGGACCAAATATCCCGACTCGGCAGTCTCGGTCACATGTTTTTCGAAAAGAAAACTGAATTAACATGGGTTATTGTTGAGCTTTTTGTTGTACGAACGGTGCGGGATCTGGGAGAGTTTTACATGCATTTCCCAAAGACCAAATCATCCGCAAAAAATGGATTTTTTTTAGTGAATCGTGTTGGATGGCAACCGACAAAATGGAGCAAGTTGTGTTTCTGACCACTTCGCGTGTGATGCATACGACGTTGATCCTGCTATCATGAAGTCTGTTGGTGGAGAAGCATT